AGATGTATTTCCAAGAGAAAAAAATCGTCTTATATTCGGGACAATACGGTATTTTAAAGAGTTTTTTTAGGCGAGAATGTACTTGTTTAGGCTTCAGATATGTGGTTTGTTAATAAAGATAATGTCTGTTTGAAAATTAGCTTCGACGTTTTCGGAGATGTGAGCTCCAGGGCGTCAGCGGTCGTTCTGCGCTCATAAACCCGCCGAGAGCGCCTCACCTCGGCCAGATCTTCTGGAATTTACCGCTGGCTCTGATGTCTCTATAGTGGTTAAACATGAGATCTAATTCATTTTAAGTAAATCTAACGGGCAGTCTCTGGTCTCAATAATCTATTATTTGTTCCAGAGCAAATAGTTTTGGCTGAGGTCAAAGTCTCATAATGTTATATTTTATATAACTGTTTCATATAACTTTTATATATACAGTGCTGTATATCAGAGCGCTGCCTTTGTACTTTTGACTGAATTGCATAGCAACATTTATGATGTCTGTTATTGTTTATTAAATATTATTATTCTATAAATAATATTTTATATAAATAATAGTAGTATTTAATAATAGTATTTAGGGATGTCCCGAGCCGATGTCAAGGATTGGGATCGGGGACGATCAAGCGTTTTTTTTTGTTTTTTTTTGTATCGGCTCTCCTAAGCCCGATCCTTATTTTATGTCAGCTGTCATGCCGGTGTCGTGCAGTACTCTCCTTCCAGTAGATTTGCCGTCATTTAAAGGAAAAGAAGACGCTCAAAGTATTCAGCCGCTATTAAAACCAAAAAAAGAAGAAATGTGTGTGGGATGCGTGAACCAGTGAGGTCTGTTCTAGCGCCTCACACACGTTTGAGCTTCCGTGTTCAATGTATTTGATGCGCACTTTTGTAGTGATCTATCTGAGACGTTGTTGTTATAACTCGTTGCGTCTTGCTTCGGATTTGACTGAGACTGACAGAGCAAGCTTCATGCTTTCTAACCTTACCTCCACCTTTTTCTAATCATTTTGCAATTATTCTGTTAATTGTACATATAAAATACAGTAAGTTTACATCAGTAGTTCCATATTCCCAGATAGCACAGGTGCGTCTGCGAGACGTCTGGTAAAGATCTGGAAAGCATCTGCTGTGTACAAACATCTGACAGACATCTCTAAGATGTCAGGTTTACATCATAAACATCTTCTAAACGTCTACTTGACATCTGATAGGAAGCGTCCTGTAGATGTATAGCAGATGAGCAAACACTCTAAAAAATACGTCTTGTTGATGTAATGCAGACGTCAAATAGACGTCTCTGTGATGTACGTGTGCTGTCAGGGTTCATTATTGTGATCACACAATCTGTTTACAATTTCTACCACTGTAACGTGTTTACATCAACAAATGTCTTTATATAGTGTACACACACACACATATACATATATATTACATTTACTCTCTGCTCAACTACATTGGATTGATTTTAATAACTTTAATGTACTTGAATTGTGCACCAAACACTATGAATATACAAGTGACTCTGATTGGATCGGGTTCACAAAAAAACCTGTTCAGTACGTCCCTACTGTAAACATTTTGGTTTTATTCTTTTCTTTCTAACAGGGTCAGTATAAATTTTACTGTCCAGCTATCACACATGGGACAGAAAAATGCAGCGCAGAGTGGCCATACTTGGAGGTCAGGAAACTGGCAGTGCTTAGTGATTCAGAGCAGGCTCATTTTGAAGAGAATATGGCTCTTCTGGCAGCAGCGGAGTACTGCGAGTTCAAATCAGTGAGTAGAAATAACATTTTTGTCTTCTGGATCGTGTGGATTCATTGACAGCTAATGAACTTTCTGGTATGTCTCTCTCTAAGTGTCCAAGCTGTGAGTCCTATGTTGAGCGAGAAGACCTGAGCAACCTGTGTGTGAAATGCACCATCTGCACAGCTGTGAAAAAGAAGAGCTTCCAGTTCTGCTGGCAGTGTCTGAGGGAATGGAAAGGACCAGCTGCTCATTCTCTACGCTGCAGTTATGACGACTGTGTCCACCCAGATGTTGACAAGCTAGCAAAATGTACAAATATGAGGCTGTCTTATGTGAACAATGTAGAGTGTCCTGCCATTCGTGCCTGCCCAACCTGCGGTCTGCTTTTAGAACACAGTGGGTTCGCTTGTAAAAACCTTATGTGTAAGCGCTGCAAGGTGGAGTTTTGCTTCCTTTGCCTAAAGCTGAAGCGTATTTGCAATCCGATCTGTGGACCTTATGATGTCTGCTCAGTTGTACCACGGCAGACTGAAATTCCAGTTTGGAAAAGACAATGTTAGAGATAGGATTAGGGATGTAACAATTCACTCAACTCGCGATGCGATATGATTCACGATACTTGTTTCACGATACGATTTTCTCGTGATTTTTTGAACAAAATGAGACTTAAGACAAATTATAAATGAAAAAATGTCCTTTTATTATTTCTCAGACAAAAAAATCTCTCTGAAATCTCAAGCTAAGGCTTTGTCTGTGCTCT